ATCCACGGTAAAGCAAAGAACAGAAAGAAACTGGCTCTGAACACTGAAATGTGCAATTTCTTTGAGATGGACATGGCTACGCAGGTTTAGTAGGATGTGTGCATGCATGTGTTTATGTGCGTTTGTGTGTTTATTGTTTCAAAATTGCCTAGAGTTACCTCATCCCAAGAGATATATTCAGCCCTGTATGCTCAAATGGAATATGATGTTTGCACATAAAATGATAAGGATTCGTAAGGCACTCAGACGGGAAGGTGAGGCAGTTATAAAACAGATGCTAACACTACTGTTGGGTTAAAGTCCTCTGAGGTAGGCTGCTCTATGATACGCTAGTCTGTGTTCAAAAAATGTTTTCTCTGGAGTTTTTAATTGAAAATAATTTTAACCAACCATGGAAATTCATTATCTTGATCTGACATTTAAGTACGTTTTCAATTGTATCCAGATTTTATTGACTAGAAAAAAAACCTATAATTGCTCTAGTGACTAGGATAAATGAAACATTTCTGAAGTAGTATAAAGACCATCTAAATTCTGGATGTGACAGGATTTGGTTTGAAACCAATAAATTAATTTGATATTTAAAAAAAGCAGCAAGCATCAGAGAAAAATCTTCATCCAAGACATTTGTGCATCCTCAGCCTGCTTTACATCCTATTTTCCTTTCGGCAGCAAGCTTGGAGATTCAAGTGAACAGTCATTTGTCAAGAAAAGCAAAGGCTGAAAGGAAAGATCATGATCATCTTTTCGTTATTGGCATTAAATATTTGTCAGCCCAATTCAGTAATAGATACATATATGTGCTTATGTGACAGTCAAAACGTGAGTGTGTGCACTCTGCATATATGGAGTGGATGATATTGGAGCACACTGTTGGTAGGTTAGATATCAGAGTTTGAGGGTGCTGAATATATGTGGAAATCAACATCAAGGAGGTTAAAGACATATGAACCTGAAGAGTTCAGGATTTCTCAGTCTGATACACACTCTCACCATCCCCTCTCAGGACGATCCATAGTGGTCTGAAAGTGCGGTCCACAACCATGGCGGATATATTTGTAAGATCCACATCAGATGACATCTTTTGGCTCTTGCTAAGTGTCTACTGGCGTACTTGTAATTTGAGAAAGAAATATATATCCTGATATACTACACTTGGTTTTCCCCACTGTAATGTAAAGCTGCAAATGTGCTGAGACTCATTGGTATATATCCAGCTAGCAGTCCAAACTTGATCACACCAAAGGAATAAGTATCCTTAATACAGTAGATCATGATGATGTTCATTTAAAGGAAAAACACCTAATACTAGCTCTGCTCAGGTTTTTCTCCTTTGTTGGTACTATAGACAGTTTCTGGAATGAAAGCAGTTACTCTATATTCATCTATATTTATCTTTCTGAAAGATACCTGAGACTGAGCTCTAGGAAGCATTAACTTCCCTCCCTCATCAGATGAGGGTGTTAGTTTCATAGCATTGTCTCCACAATCAGCATCCCAATTACCTGTAAAACCACTGTGAATAAACACATTTCTTCATAAAGCAAAGCTTGGAAAATATCCAGTAGTTTCTAAAAGCAGGCTGATGTCTTCCTATCGGTTCACCGGTAAAAAAAACGACTTGAGAATTCTCCAGTCACATATAAGATATTGTGATCACGGTGATCAGTAATCAAAAATGTGTGGTTTGAAGTCACGCATGTTAACCTGTGTATATTCATTTACTTACGCCCTCCCAACTCAGTCTTGCAAAGATAAATGTGCTCATTTATGAAACGAACAACAGGTTCAAGTTTAGAATTGGGGCTTTGCTTTCCACATGTAAGAATGGAAAATCTGTCTTTTGGAATGATTCCACAAACCATTTATTTTTAATGCTTCTTTATTTCAAGGCAAACATGGACGGATTCTGCAGTACTGACATTCCACATTCTTGTAGTGTTTTTATTTAGTTTAGACATATTCACATATTCTCCAGTATTCCAGGATTATGCATGTTTGTGCATGTCCCTCATCTCTACCTCTAAAGACAGGCATCCATCAATACTTCAGTTTTATGACACCTCAATATTTTTTCTCAGCATATTTTGAAAATTTTGACAGCACAAATTTGACAGTGTCTTCCTTCTCGAGTGTTCAGCTGTTCATCTCCACTTGTTTAACTCCTTATCCCTGTATGCCAATAGATATTATCACTAAATCCTCCTGGTTTAATCTCCAAAATGTCTCTGAAATCTCCCCTTTCCTCTTCATTCTCCCCATAAAATGTTTGTCAAGTCCATCCTTCTCCACATCCATGCGTACTGCGACCTTGCTGTCCTCAGCCTCTAACTGACACTCATATTAGCCAGTTTTTATAGTAGTCTAATGCAAAAGTAATCCACTGCTCCCAGTATTGAGATCTCATTAAGATATTCCTAAATCCCTCTTCTTCACTGTCTCCCTATTGCCTTCTAAATCTGATCGAAGCTCCTTTTATCACCCAGAATTCCTCTTGACCTAACCTTCCTTCTCCTGTCCTTGCTCTGTTCTTCCACATCTTTCTTCTTTACGTGCTCCCTCCTTACCCATTGCCGGTCACAATGTAAACCGTTTGCCAATTAGACCTACGCACCGCCTTTGATGTTGTCCACTATACCTGTGAGAGGAGTAGTTCAGCTATACCATTCTAGATGGAAGGTATCCTGATCAGATTGGCATAGTCCTCTTAATAGGTTTGAACCATTGACTACTAAAAAACAAGGTATCTTGCTTTTCTAGCAAAACGGAAAGGAGGTATTTGTCTTCTTATATTGAGATTTTGAGTTTTTTCTGAGTCAAGCACAATTTCTCCCGTGTCCTTAGGCCTTGAATCAGAAAAGGAATTAAAGTTTTTATAGAAATTTACAATTGCTGTTTCATGAAATTGCTTTCCGACCAGTCTATCCAAACACCCCTTGCAGAAAGCTGATGTCTAGATGAAACTGAAACATGCATCTCTGACTTTTTAAAAAATATGTTTCCATCTCCTAAGACCTGAATTTTACATTGTGACTTCTTGCTTTCTCCGCCTGCTTACTATTAAACATCTCTTAGCTTGATTTTGGGGAGTAAAGAGACACAGGGCAATAAGATATAATTCCTGCATTATAGGATTTCCAAACCAAGTCCTTAGTAGTCAGCTGAAATTCAGCAGCAGGATCTGTAAGTTAGTACAGACAAGCCAAGCCTATGATACAGCACGTCAGCATGAAGGACAGGACGTGCGGATCAAAGCTCTCCTTAGTTCATTTGACTTTCTGTTCCTCTGTGTCTCCATGCATTAGATTATGGGAAAACTTAACAAAACAAACTAACTCCTAGTCTCTTCCTCTCTTCCTCTTTAAGTTCTGCCCCCCCCTCACAATATCAAACAGGAGAAAAACAGTCTTCCTACACCTGCACCTTTTGTTCATTATTTTGCGTTTCATTGAAAATTAACATCCGGTTACTGGAGCTTCCTCTCTCTTTGCCAAGGTGCTGTAGAAGTGCTTTGTGCCAACCAGACACCTACGTGCTATTTCTACACGTCTCACACCTCCCTGACCTGATCAGAGTTTAACCAGTGGAACTCCAGCCAGCAGACCATGAAGCTGGAAAATGATGGTGAGCAATTAGTTCCTAACAGGTTTAGAAAAAATGTTGCCACATCCACAGATAGTTCCTAAAAGCAAGCTGATGCCTTCCCATCAGTTCCATACCAAAGTCCCAACTTCAAAACTTTCTAGTCAGGCATCAGATATTTTGTCTCAATGACATTCCACAGCCGTATGTCTGTTGTATTTATTTTAGAGATATTCTCAGTTCTTCCAGCAGCATGCCTGTTTGTGCATGTCCCTATGTTTCCATGTGTAAAGACAGGCAGACATAAATGCTTCAGTTTTACAATGCCTCAGTGTATGAGTTGTCATCTCCAGGAAGCCGGGAAATGACAGTATGCACATCATCCGTAACAAGCTTAGAGAAAATATTACCAGGTCCATGCATAATATAAGTACACGCTGAAGTCTCATCGATTAGGATGCCATAATGAGGACAGAACTGCTCTCACGTTTAACACAAAGAGATGCCAAATGCTTTACCAAATTGGCTGTATTGACTATGTCCTATTACACAACACCCTGTTTCAGTCCCACGAACTGTAGAAATTTCCGCTCCTTCGGCTCCTGGTATTCCTGACCTTACAATTGTTTTCCTGCCTCTTTCCTCCCTGCCTATATATCTTTGTTTTCCTCACAAAGCAGAGTTCAGTGGATTTCCTGCACCTCCTCACATGCAATTAGCCTTAAAGCAAAATTGCTTGGCTGCAGTAAGGATCTATCTCAAAACCAAAGAAAGCAGCAGGAAAAACAATAGCCGTCAGCCAAGACTATCTCCAAAAAAATGGGTCTTGGGGTTCATGTGTACTCAGCTCACCGGGAAAAGGTGGAAGGAAGCATGTAGACCATTACCTCTGAGATTGTAAATGGTGAACTAGTTACTAATCTCCTCCACGACTTCCTCACCCTTCCTGATCCGCTCCACCATCCTTCTGCTGCTCTTTAATCCTTCTACCAGCAGGCTGCAGCTCACCCCTTGAATCTTCATCCTTCCACTGCCCCAGGCACTCTCCCAGGCAGCTCCTTTTAACCCATGTTCCTCTAACCCACTCACCTCTGAATCTTCTTTGGTATCCACTGCAAGACCCAGGCTCCTGCTTCTCTGTTTTCCAATTTATTTCCTTCCCATTTATTCCCTACTTGCCAAAAGGCCAGGTCCTCAGCCCCTCGTGACCCTTCCTGTCATGCCTGTGAGTCTCAGGAGCTTTTGGAAACGCGAAGCTCAGGACAAAGGGCAGTGTCAGGGCAGCGCCTGCACCAGGACGTAGCTTTCCTGATAGGCATGTGTGCGTATTTGGCACATGGTCATACATTTTAAGGAAGGGAATTTTTTCTGCGACACAGGCACTCTGCACCAGGCACTGTACAGCAACAGCATCACCAATGAAACTGCTTCCATTCCTAGGTAGGTGAAATCTCCTTCCCTGGGGAATGTGTGGCAGGTGGGAAGGGAGTGGGGTCTGGCAGGGAGAAACGAATTTGTTGGAGATAGTGGAAAATCTGCTGGGTGTATGGGACTAAAAGTCCCCATAGCTTTGATCAGTGCTGCTACCGGATTCGTTAATTGCATGGTTAGGATGATCCCAAAACCAAATCCCACAAATGCCAGTCTTTATCTCACTGTGGGTTTTGTTCTGTAAAAACCAGAAACATTGTGGGTTTCCCTGGGTTTGGATTTTTGTGTTTTTTCTCTCTCTCCATCTGCTTGGGAGATTTTAAGATGTCACATGTTAAGAACAGTAAAACGGCAACCAAATCCCACAGGTTTCTGTTTTAATCTCTGGAAGACGGTCTCCTCTGTCAAAAACAGAGGGAAAAGATGAACCTTGTTGATACATAAATTGATTTGGATTATATATAATTGTTAAAAAAATGTGTGTAATTTTTAGTCTTTTACATTTTTCATGAAATTTTAATTCGTCCAAGAAAACAACGCCTCGGTGAGATTTCCTGAAGCAATGAAACCTGTAATTGTAACACTAGGCTAGCAAATATCCAGAATAATATTTGGGTAGGGAAAAGCAGAACTGCAGGGGAAGACATCATCCAAAAGGGTCTTTGTGTTCTGCAACTTTTATTGTGTCCTGCTAACAATTTATAAAGTACAAAGTAAAAAACTTACTTTCCTGTCTGAATTAACTGCCTCATTTCTAACCAATTACAGGGTACGTATGATAATTCAGTGAGCTGTTAGTTTTTTCTAAGGGAGAGATTCCTTTTTTTCTTTGTGTTTCGAACCATACACATTCATACAATAGGAAAGTAGTTATTTCCTTTAGAAATCATCCAGTGGATGTAAAAAAAAAGACAATACTTTTAGAACATGGAAACAGTATTTCAAGATATTAACTTTAAATAATTTGGAGAAGTTTTTAAACCCTAATGTCATAATGCTGTAAATATTGTGACATGTCATTTTAATCTCTTAGACCATGCATATGTGTTAGCTACAAAAGTATGGAAGTGCTTATAAAAATGAGAATTCTGATCAGGGGAACCCTCTGGTATTTTTTACTTGATATCTGTAGGGTAGTGTAGATTACACTCAATACATAATCCAGAGTGCAAATAAATGTCTGTGCTTTAATGGAAAGTACTAGAGAGCTCTGAAAGCCTTTCAAAAGTTTTCCCCAGATCACGGAGTAATTTCTACGTTGTTTACCAATTTTGTACTAGTTGAGTACATACACAAGTTCTCTATCTACAGTGTCTGCTCTTTCTAGCCCCTGGGTAGTTTTATCAAAGAAGTCCCTGTAGTTGGTGGCCCTTGCCCCATCCTGAAATATAGCTGAGTCTGATGATATGAAGTTCACTGGAATACACCAGTTTTGTGAATACCTTTTGCCCAGATCTGGTTTTAGAGCTCGGAATGAAATTTTTAGATAAAGAGACGATTCTGATTTTCCTTTGTTCCAGTTCTGATTTCCAGTCTGCTGGACTATGGCTGCACTTCTGCAAGCTGCAACATGACATGCCATAAAGACGCCAGGTGTGAAGTTCAGGGTGGGACAACAGGCTGCTATTGCTCCCAAGGATATACAGGAAATGGCATAACATTCTGTTACGGTAAACAGATTTTACCTGTATGCATTTCTGGTTTGTGCTTGCTTGAAAAACTTACTGAAGAGACCATTAGTTCAAGGGTTAAACTTCATGTCACAACATCTTACACTAACATCTTCTCAAAGCCAAAAATTTTAGCAGTTTCTGAGAAATTCTGCAACTTACTCTCAGCCTACTATTTTAATATAGCATACTGTGCACCTTAGTTGAGTATGACCTGTTTTCCAGCTTTCCTTTTCCATGACAGATGCTGATGTATCTTCTCTGATTTAGCTTCAGCAATTTCCCTTGTGACTCAGGACTTCTGAATTTTGGAGCTGGCATGACTGCTACTCTACAGCCCTCACATCTCATCCACATACACATCGTGCTAAGCTAATCTGCCCAGCAGCTGATCATGATCAAATAATGCAGCTCCTGGGCTACTCTAGCAGGCTGAGGGAGGTATGTGCGCCGCAGAGACATGCCCACATGTGAGGCCAAAGTTAATTTTTTCACTACAGCTGCTTGCAAGGGAAAAATGCCAGAAACCCTATGGAGGAGTCTGCCTCTGGATGCCTCTATCTTCCATACAAAAGAAAGGATATTTTCCCTGCCTTCATTTCTGAGACGTCCTCCACTATGAATAGCTCTAGTACTTATTTCTACTGTCAGATATAGCTATGGCTAGCTGCAGGCGGGCTGAAATTCATATGAATCTTGTCAGTGTTCAGTGTCCTGAGAAGTAGTTATGCATATTAACAATCCATTTGCTCAGTTCTTGTGTTTCTTGCATCTTGGGAAATTTAGCATTAACAGAGGCACTTTGGTTTGGTATAAGCATAGGTAAGTGGCCCACCTTTAGTTTGGATTTTTATAGCTCATTTGCCACTGTGTACTTGGAAGTGTTCTTCTTTTAGGAAAACTTAGAATGCAAAGAACTTTCTCCTAAGAAAGCTACTTACCTTTTCATAAGCTGGGAATGCTTTGAAAGAAAACACAGAATCACAGAATCACAGAATGGTATATGCCTGGCTAAAACAATAAACAATAAGGAATCACAAAAATTGTAATATAACTCAGTTTTGAAGAGACGTCTGGAGGTCGTCTGGTCCAGTTCCGCACTTGGAGCAGGTCCAGCTTAAAGAAGGTTGGACAGGGCTTTGTCCAGCTGAGTTTTGAGTATCTCCAAGGGTGAAGACTGCACACCTATGTGGGCCCCTGTTCCAGTGTCTATCAGAATTTTGAAAACTTTTTTCTGATATCTAGTTGTGGTTTCTCTTGATGCAGCTTGTAACTTCTGCCTTTCATGTGCACTTACTGCTGTACATTTCTAATAATAGTTTAGCTTAATCTCCTCTATAAACCCCTGTGACCTCCCATTAGGTAGCTGTAGATAGCAATATGATTTCCTCTTTGCCTTCTCTTCTTAAGCCTGAACAAACACTGTTCTCTCATCCTCTTCTTTGCATCATGTGTCATGTAGTCACTAAACATATTTCTTGAATTTAATTCTAACCTTGCCATAAATACAGGTCAATCATTATTTGTCTATTGAGCTGCTCAAATGAAAACAAGAAGAAATGGCCTTCACTACACTAGTATTGTATTTGCACTAATTCAATTTTACTACCATGAGTAAGCTGGTTGATTTGAAAGATAAGTGCACATTAAGTTTGCAGAGTCAAGGCCCTGCGCTTTTGAATAATGCAGAGAAAGAAGAAAAACAAGTCAATTTTTAGCAGTACTACCTGGAACAAATCAAACCAGCATTTACTTATCTACCATGATCTGGTGTCCACTACATTGTCTGAACTTTTCTAGAAAGTTGTGATTATGAATCATCAATTAAATTTAGAGTAAAGATATCTGTTGTTCTTCACTGACATTACTGATGTTCTTAAATCCACCCATTATATATATATCCATTATGACATTATTAAATCCATTTGTGTGAGGATGGATTTATCTTACCTTCCACATTCTTTTTTCTCATACAGTATCTTTTTCTCACTTTCTTTTTCTCCTGTATTTTCTTAGGGAAACCTACATTCAAAATTCATAAAAACATTTATTCTTCATCTAAAGAAAATTCAGTACAGTGAAATGTACAATCACCAATCTTGTGAATTGATTGTTCATTAAGAGTTATACTAAATGCTTGGAAACTCAGTATCTAAAATAAAATATCCAATGTCAGTTTGGGCAAACTGGCTACTAGATGCATTTGTGGTGCTTTGCAGTTAAGTGGCAATGGTTTGAAGAAAGTCTCATGTCAGGGGACCAGCGTTTTCTCTGGTAAAATACCTTAACAACCACCAAAGTCACTTACCCTCCAGCCAAGCAGCAAAACTTGTATCAGAACTGTGTGACTGTTGCCCCTGAAAGAGAGACGAAGTTTCTCTAGGGCAGCAAGTTACACAGTGCGTTATTAATATTGTGCAGTAGTCCTCTAATAGCATGAACAAGTAACCTGAATTTTAATTGGGTAGCCTTTAAAATGGATTAGGAATACAGGCTAAACTGTAACATAAATAGTTTAAAGCTACAAAAACATGAAGTAAAGCCTCAGTTGTTTAATGACGTGTTAGATCTTGCTGTTCTGTGTGGTGAAAGCGGCAGGTGTATCTGCTGTTCTAGAGATAGCTTCAGTTAATAATCTTACCCTTTTTACAATGATAGTCCAGTCACCTTCAAAGGAGATCGTCAGTTATGTGCTAATACAAGCATTTTCTAAAGATTATATATGGTACATTGTGCTTGCATATTTGCCCTTTTAGTTATTTAAATAGGTCATAAGAGTCATAATTACCGTCAACAACATTAATAGTTTTGCATAGTGCAGAACCAAGTTCTTCATTGTGCGTCTCCTGGTAGACAAATAAGAACAGTGGTTGTTTTGAGGGTTTATTCTGGATCAAGCAATTCAAATTCTTTCTCCTTGTAAAAGTGTTGAACAAAAATGCTAGTTTTCATGTTAGTCCTCTTAAGCTTGTATAGCTGGAAAACTGTCTCATTTTCATTTATAGGCACACTCTCACTGTATTTAAAAGGTTTACATTTGTTTCTCTACTTTCACTTGCTTGTAACACCTCTTAAATACTTGTAAAAGTTATTTCTTTGCTAGTTCTGTCTTTTCAATGTGATACACTTAGACATTTTCCCTTGAGTTTACTGTGCTGCAAAAAGCAATAATGCCCTGTTACTTTTATTTTCTATCACCATTATTGATGAATCATGAATCACTGATGTCAGTACACCTTAGGAATGGGGTTTGTTAGTTTTTACTTTGCTCCCTTTGCCAGCTGGCTAAGTGACTGCAGAGAGCTCAAGATTATTGGATTTGCTGTGTATAGATAAAGACATATAGATATGAATTTAATTTCCTGGTGTCAAAGTCATGGCTCCCAAAATAATTATGCTCTTAAAATCTTTCCCACAAGATTTCAACCACTTCAAATTAGGTCATGTTTTGGACTTTCTGAAGGCATACTTTGGCCAGTCTAACAAAAAGCTAATCCTCTTCATAATCTCATTGTCTTCAGTAAGAATATGTGCAGGAATTCACATAGTCAGGAGAATAACTGATTGTAGGATCTGGCCTCTTTTAGATATTAGAATTTTAAGTTACATAGCAATAAATTCTTTCTGTACAGTATCTTCCAGAAAGCCATAAATGAGTCACCTTGTCAAGCTTTATGCCTCTGAGGTGCAAAATACCATCCCATTTTTCTTACTTCTTTTGTATTTATATTCCTTGCTTTATGTAGTATAAGATGAGTGAATGGCCTCTGAAAATATAACTGTTTGCCTTTTAGGACTCTGTTCTTGGACAGATGTGTATTCTGAATGTAATGCATGAGGCTTTAGCTTCACATTATCATACACTTAATTGAAGTAGCACAGCTAGCGCTCTTGGCATAAAAATAAAAATATGTCCAGATAAGACTGATTTATAGATTTATAGACTTCCTCTTGTGCAAAAATGCCATGGATTTTTTACAGATAAATGGCATATATTTGCCACTTTTGTAAATCCATTTCTTTATATAAAAAGAGTCGGCTGTATAAGTTAGGTGTTGCTCATAATCCCAGCTTTCTTCCAAAAGAAAATTAAAGGAAACAAACAACATTTAAGATCCTTTAGAGAAGATTGAGATGGAAGTAAAACTTCATAGAAGCCAATATTTTATTTTTAAAACTGAGGGAAAAATAAGTTGGCATCATCGATGCTTCCTAAGCAGCTCTGCTGTTTCAATACTGGCTGCTTCTTGATTGCTGACTGCCAATTTGCTGCTTTGCTGGCACACTGCAGGAAATTAAAGTAAACAGTGTGATCACAGTGTTTACTTTAACTTTGCAAAATACGGAAGGAAAATGAAGCGGTGTTGTTTGTTCCAGGAGGGTAGGCAGGCAAGCAGGAAAAGTCTGAACACAATATCCCTCTCAGATATCCCTGCACAATATTCCCTTGAAATGTCACTTGAAAATTATACTGCAAAATTAATCAGTCTTGTAAAAGAGTTACAGTGCTTCCAGAAATAGTGAGCAGGGACTTAGGCTGTCAGGGAAACTTTGTACTGAATTAAGGCACTAACTCTCCTTCTGAAGTGCAGTGTAGGATGTTTTATCATTTTCCAGAGGCAAAAGATACATCAGTGCAAATTGGTATTTTTCATCAAAATACAGAATCACTGTTAGAACACTGGGCAATTTGTGTAAACTCAGCTGAATCAAACTGAAAGCCTACGCAATATCGGAACATAAACATATTTTCTTGTTTTACTGAGGGTCATACAACAAACTCTCTGGCTTTTGCCAGCCATAAAAAGGAGCTTTCCTGTGAGACATCAGCTTCTTTCTCTAAGGTGATATTGCTTTGTCCCACCACAGACTTTTGTTGCAGTCACTGATCTTGTTTTGATTCACTGGTGTCACCATTGCCATTCTGCAGCACCCAATTGGTGTATATCTTTGAGGGAATTTTTACTTTTCAAATTAACATGACCATGTAAAACCACAGT